GGCGTTGGCTGACGACGCGGAGTTGTGGCCTGGTTGAAGTTTTAGTCGGCACTCGAGGTCGGACTCTGAGACACGGCGTTAGGACACGAAACTCTCAACGGAAAAGAAAAGAAACTAAAGTAAAGAAATAAAAGTAATGTTTGACGAGACTAGGTGGCATTTCTCCTCATGGTTTTGGAGGAGCTGGCGTGTAAGCCAGAGCACACTCAAAGAGCTAAAAAAGCATGACTAAAAAGCATAAAGCTAAAAGGGGGAAAAGTGATGATTTGATGGTGTCCTGAGTATTTAAACTGGGCTTTTGGCCACATCCCAAATGGTTCGGGGGGCAGTTTCTGTGCCATTCTGTGGACGTGTTCTGTGAAGACCAGAGAGGTTAAGAGGTCTGTAAGGAATCTCAGTCTGTTCTTTATCTTCTAGGTGGGGGAGGAAAGTCAATCCAAAGAGCTCGTGATCACTATCACTGGTTTACATGTGATGGTCATGCTGTGCATTTCTTTGACCATTAATCTTGATTACTTGCCCCAAAATTGACAATCTCCTTGGAATTGTCAATAAGTGTAATTTTGTTTAAATGCTGTGAGCTGCTCAAAGCTGCTAGTTGGTGGACTTGCTTCAGGCTTGTGGCGCCAGGATCTGATTTATGAACATCCTTTCTGTGGAATTCGGCTCCTCGTGTTTCAACCATGTTCTTGATCAAATCTTAAATTGTCTGATTCGGTCTGATACCCTACAAACGCAACACTTTTGTTCTTGCCCCCATTTTTCATGAGCTGAACTCAAAGATCTAAGACTTTTTCTATGTACACAAAAGGCCTATCTCTCTCAAATATTGTTCACAAATCTGTCTAAATCTGTGTTAGTGAGCACTTCTCCTTTGCCGAGATAATCCATCCACCTCACAGGTGTGGCATATCAAGATGCTGATTAGACAGCAGGATTATTGCACAGTGTGCCTTAGGCTGGCCACAATAATAGGCCACTGAAAAAAAATTAATAAAAAACTTATATAGGCTAATTAATTAGTCTAAGCTATAGTTATACATATGTGACTATTTGTTTGGATAATAATTAATACTTGAACAACATGAGATTAGAATATGACAGAAGTTTCATGTTTTCAAGTTCCATCCATCCATTTTCCAAACCTCTTATCCCATGTAGGGTCATGGGGATGCTGGAGATTATTTCAACGTCACAGGCTGCAGTTGCACTTATAAATTAAAATGCATCATATAATTTATTTTAAACAGATTCACACATTTGAATAATGTAAATTTAAAGACCTTTGTTGTCATTGTACAGAAATATGCTATATATCAGATTAACATGAGATCAGTAACTGCATTTCAGAAAGTTTTAGTGAGAATCAGTCACTAATAGCAAAGATGAAATTACACATACTGTACATTAAGATACATATTATTGAGATCATTTTCACATTTCATATAAGTGATTCATTAATATTTTAATTTGTTAATGATTTCTAAACCCTCTTCCATAAGTAATGGTGGAATAAGTATAGCTTGGAACAACAGCGTGTACATTTTTGTAGTAATTGGCAGTAATTGTAACGGATTATGTCAGGTTTGCTGCTTTTCCCTTTTGCGCCTTTTCTTTAAATTTATCTACCATAACTTTCACACCAGTTCCTCCTGCAACAGCTGCTCCTCCTGCTATTAAAGCAACAGGCAATACCACTCCCCCTGTAAAAACCATTGCTGCACCTCCAGCTACTGCTCCTGTCACACCTGCTCCCACTAAGGCCACATGTTTTACCTTATGTATAATCTTCCTTCTTTCATCCTTCCTTATCTTTTTCTCCTCTTCCAATCTCAGTTTCTCTTCTTCCTCTCTCTGCCTCTTCTCTTCTTCCTCAATTTTTCTCTGAGTTTCTCTGTACATCTCATTTGTGTAATGCTCTCCTCCATTCTCCATCACCATTCTGTCGATCTTCTCCAGCAGTTCAGTGACCTGTGATCGATTGTTTCCATCTGTATTATCGAACACATGATACCTGCCTTTAGACTGACTAACTAGCTCATTAATCTGCTTATTTTCTGCCAGAAACTGCTTTATAGGTTTATCTAACTGATCTCCTCTAGTGAACAGAATGATGGTGTAACATGCAGCTTCTTCTCCAAAGTTTTCCTGAATCCATTTCACTGTGTTTTTCTCCTCATCTGTGAATCTCACATCCAGTCTGAGGACTAGAAGAAACGCATGAGGACCAGGAACAGACATCTCCACACACTTCTCGATCTCTTTCTTCAGTTGTTCTTCACTGATTGATGTATCAAACAGTCCTGGAGTGTCGATCACTGAGATGTTTCTACCATCTACTGTCTGCTGATGCTGTTGGCATTTCCCAGTCACAGATTCTGAAGATAATTGTGCTTCAAACATTTTTCTACCCAGGATGGTGTTTCCTGTTGTGCTTTTGCCAACTCCAGTTTTACCCACCATCACGATCCTGAGCTCTGACAAGATGGAGAAGATAAAAGGATGGATGAAAGCGTGTGTGTTATTATGGACAATAACAAATTGGTAAACTCTGAATAATTGATGTATGGAAAATTCTAAAGGAGTGGCATTGAACATGAAGTTTTTTAAAATAATTTTTAAAAACATATTTTGGGGAAAAAAAAGTATGTGCGTGTGAACCATTCTACTACATTGTTACGTTCCACGTGTGTTTTGTGTATTTTTTTTCTCTCGCTCTCCTGTCTTTTTGTGGTATTTCTTTCTCCACTTCTAGGTCTGTGTTTATTGGCTGACTCGACTGTCAATCATCATTCTGACGTCATGACACTCTGTATTTGAGGCCTCGAGTTGATTGTGTGTTGGTGCCCAACACGGTCAGCAGTCTCCTGTTTGACGCCAGTTGTCTCCCGATGCTTAATGTATCTTGTTTCATAGATCAAATCACACAACACAAAGCATGACTCCATTTATAGATTCGTTCTTTGGCTATTGACTTGTATTGAATTTTGTGTGACAGATTACGCTAATGTTCGTGTTAGAGTTTCAGTCTTACTACGGGTCAAGTTCAAAGTTAAGAATGCATCCTGGTGCATCAAGCTACTTAACCAAACATGTCTTTGGTGATAATTTGACTATTTAGTCAATCGTTGTTATGATACTGTTTGTTTTGTTTCTTGATTAGATAAGGTTTGTGAGTGTTACGTAACCTTTGTACTTTTGTTATTAGTTTATATATTTATATATGTTATTATTAGTCATCGTATATGCCGAAGATTTCGGTTTTATTTTTTTGTTAGTCAGTTTAGAGGTTAGTTATAAGGATTGTTTTGTTTTGCTTATTTCTTTGATTTGGTTGACAATCCTTTTTTGTGCTAAATTCCATATTCTTTTTCATTTAATAATTATTTGAAAACTTCCACACAACGCGTCCAGTAAAGTCTTCTGAAACGTACTACTTTTCAGTGTCATCTTTGATCTGCTCCACACCCAGTAACAATTGTCTCACTTAAATGTTACGGTATCATCCCTCTTTAACATCAAGCACGTAACATTTATGGAGGAAGAATTGTTAAAACTATATGTTTTTTTTCTGGGGGGGGTTTGTGTATGTTACGTACTTGATGTTAAAGAGGGATGATACCATAACATTTAAGTGAGACAATTGTTACTGGGTGTGGAGCAAATAAAAGATGACACTGAAAAGTAGTACGTTTCAGAAGACTTTACTGGAGAAATTAATACCACAAAAAGACAGGAGAGCGAGGAAAAAAAAAACAGACCATACACAAAACACACATGGAACGTAACATACACTCTATGTTGCCCATCCAATGGAAGTCATTTTTCATCAAAACCATTTAGTTACCACATTTTTCAAAATGACTTATTTTCAGAATTGTTCAAAATGTCTTCTATGTTCAACAGAAAAAAAAAGAAACAATAATTTTGGTCAGAAATGTCTCTAGATGACACCAATTTTATGCAAGTCAGATCAGCAATGCAGGTTCTTTAGATGCTGAATTATAAACATAAATATACATTTCTAAGTCTGCCATTCACAATTGAATTTATTGGCTATAATTATTATTGATTGTTGGATGCCGTTTTTATGATTGGTCCAATTTATAATTTGGAATATATTTGCTACATTTACTGTTGCCATTTCCCAGATTTAGGGCAGAAAATTAAAAACACCATTTTTAAATTAAATTTTCATTGTTACGTCATCTTCTAAATGTATTGATTTAAAAAATAATAATATTTTAATTATGTATTGACAGTGGCATGGTTTTAATTTGTTCAGGGGGAAATATTTTTACAAGTTTATTTTGTGTTTACAGTTTTGTGTAATGTGTCTCGACATTTAAATACATTTCAAAATAGAAAATCCTTGTAGTTTTCTAAGTTCTCACCTGCCTGAGTCAAATGTTGTTCTGTCTTATTCTGTTGTTTCTTCTGCATCCATTTTCCTTTCCCACTTGTCTTCAAGCTTTTTTCTGAAGTCGGGGGTGCATTGTTTCCCCCCATTCTTCCAAAGGCATTTTTCAGTGATGTTACCAGCATTTTTTTTAACTCCTTCTCTTCATCCATCTTGTTTACTTGTGGAACTGAATCTTTATATACATGAGATTCCTCTATTTTTTTCCCAGTATTTTTTTCTTGGTTCTTCTTTTCAATCCTGATTCTTGTTAAAGACTTTAAGTGAATCTCATTGTTATAATATTTTTCATCATTTTGCTTGATGATTTCATCAATTTTCTCTAGAAGCTTGGTGATGTGAGTTTCATTAATCTCACTTTTTCTGTTGATCACATGATATTGTCCTCTGCCGTGACTGATTAGGTCCTGAAACTTTCTACTAAACTTAATGTCCATCCATTCTCTGTTTGACATTAGTTCTCTTCTAGTAAACAGCAGCATGGTCAAATTCAAGGCTTGAGCTCCAAAGATCTCCTGAATCTTTTCTACAATGTTTCTCTCGTCCTCTCTGAAGGTCTCCAGGTTGATGACAAGCAGGAACACGTGAGGACCAGGATCAGCGAGAGAAAGACTTTTCATCATCTGTTTCTGCAGCTCTTCATCAGTCAGCTGCGTGTTGAAGAATCCTGGAGTGTCGATGATGGAGATGTTTCTGCTCCTTACTCTTCCTCTCTGTATCTCACTCTGTCTGGTTCTGCTCTCTTTAAATGCATCTCGCCCCAGTATTGCATTTGCTGTTGGACTCTTTCCAGCTCCAGAGACTCCCAATAAAACAATCCTCAGATCCTGTGAATCACCTGCATTTAAACATTTCATGTCATTAACTTGAGCTTTTGATGGTGGTGATAAATTATTTTGTGATTATTCTGTTATTCATTCAGTTATTCTTCGCTATTTCACAGAGGTGGGACCAAGTCATTGCTTTGCAAGTCTAAATAAGTCTCGAGTCTTTGCGTTCAAGTCTCGAGTCAAGTCCCAACTCAAGTCCTGAGTCAAGATGGGCAAGTCCAAGTCGAGTTGCAAGTTGCAACTTTAAGCTTTAAGTCCTAAACAAGTCATTAGTGCCGTTTGCCCAAATTAGTGTCTCTGTATTAATTACTACAGTAAATTTTAAGTCATTAACCCTTAAATCATTCACTATCCTCTCTCTCCTTCATTAAATATTTTTACAAGTTTATTTTGTGTTTACAGTTTTGTGTAATGTGTCTCGACATTTAAATACATTTCAAAATAGAAAATCCTTGTAGTTTTCTAAGTTCTCACCTGCCTGAGTCAAATGTTGTTCTGTCTTATTCTGTTGTTTCTTCTGCATCCATTTTCCTTTCCCACTTGTCTTCAAGCTTTTTTCTGAAGTCGGGGGTGCATTGTTTCCCCCCATTCTTCCAAAGTCATTTTTCAGTGATGTTACCAGCATTTTTTTAAACTCCTTCTCTTCATCCATCTTGTTTACTTGTGGAACTGAATCTTTATATACATGAGATTCCTCTATTTTTTTCCCAGTATTTTTTTCTTGGTTCTTCTTTTCAATCCTGATTCTTGTTAAAGACTTTAAGTGAATCTCATTGTTATAATATTTTTCATCATTTTGCTTGATGATTTCATCAATTTTCTCTAGAAGCTTGGTGATGTGAGTTTCATTAATCTCACTTTTTCTGTTGATCACATGATATTGTCCTCTGCCGTGACTGATTAGGTCCTGAAACTTTCTACTAAACTTAATGTCCATCCATTCTCTGTTTGACATTAGTTCTCTTCTAGTAAACAGCAGCATGGTCAAATTCAAGGCTTGAGCTCCAAAGATCTCCTGAATCTTTTCTACAATGTTTCTCTCGTCCTCTCTGAAGGTCTCCAGGTTGATGACAAGCAGGAACACGTGAGGACCAGGATCAGCGAGAGAAAGACTTTTCATCATCTGTTTCTGCAGCTCTTCATCAGTCAGCTGCGTGTTGAAGAATCCTGGAGTGTCGATGATGGAGATGTTTCTGCTCCTTACTCTTCCTCTCTGTATCTCACTCTGTCTGGTTCTGCTCTCTTTAAATGCATCTCGCCCCAGTATTGCATTTGCTGTTGGACTCTTTCCAGCTCCAGAGACTCCCAATAAAACAATCCTCAGATCCTGTGAATCACCTGCATTTAAACATTTCATGTCATTAACTTGAGCTTTTGATGGTGGTGATAAATTATTTTGTGATTATTCTGTTATTCATTCAGTTATTCTTCGCTATTTCACAGAGGTGGGACCAAGTCATTGCTTTGCAAGTCTAAATAAGTCTCGAGTCTTTGCGTTCAAGTCTCGAGTCAAGTCCCAACTCAAGTCCTGAGTCAAGATGGGCAAGTCCAAGTCGAGTTGCAAGTTGCAACTTTAAGCTTTAAGTCCTAAACAAGTCATTAGTGCCGTTTGCCCAAATTAGTGTCTCTGTATTAATTACTACAGTAAATTTTAAGTCATTAACCCTTAAATCATTCACTATCCTCTCTCTCCTTCATTTTTGAAAGTTAGACATCAACTTTCTTTGTATTCCTCGATCTATTCATTATAAACAATATAACAAGAAAAAATATATATAATAAATTGTCTGTTTTCTGATTTTTTTTTGTAAAAAGTGTATAGGGTCACTCGAGACCCGAGGTTAGGGTTGTGCAATTAATCGAATACGATTGTTATGCGCATCTCGTCAGTAAAGCCGGTTCTGTGATTAGTAGTAAATCTCCATCACCTGCTTTCAGATGGAGCAGCATTTACTACACAGAGCCGTAGTTCACTGACAAGCTACGCAATATCGCATTCATTATCGCAGGCGATTCGATTTGCGATAACGCACACGATATTGCCTAATTGTCAGTGATGGAGATTTACTACTAATCACGGAACCAGCTTTACTGATGATAAGTATATTTAATGTATATGTAAGTATATTTGTCCTGCACAACTATATTTACATATCTGATGACTCAGTATGTGCAATGCATCTTTATTCCTCGAGATGGCACTGTTTGATACACAATGATGATGTGATGTTTCACTCATAATTACCGCAGGCATTGTTAAGCTGAACTTTAAATTGTAAGAAAAAAAATTATATTCATCATTGTTAAATAAAGAAAAAAAATCTATCAGATGAAATTAGTTTTGATTTGAGATCAAAATGAATGGATACTATTGGTTGTGGGCACATAGTGCAACCTGGAAGAAACAAGGAAGCTGATTACTACCCAAGTTGGTGTTGATACTGGTTATAAAACCAAAGGAGAAAGATTGCTAAAGCATGCACGGATGCAGCCATTGAGTTTGGAGTAAACACATTCTGAGTTTGTTCAAAGACAGTTGGGAAAAGACACAATGTGTTCATCAACTTTGAGACGCTACTGGTAGGATAAAGACTAATTTCTTTAGTGAATACAGACTGTTTAAAAGACCAATTGTGAATGTCTTGCAAGTTGTTTCTTAATGCTAGCGGGTTTAGCATCTAATATGCTAACTGGCCATGTGCAGTAAATGCATTTGATTTAGTGTGCATCTTTATTCCTCGAGATGGCACTGTTTGATACACAATGATGATGTGATGTTTCACTCATAATTACCGCAGGCATTGTTAAGCTGAACTTTAAATTGTAAGAAAAAAAATTATATTCATCATTGTTAAATAAAGAAAAAAAATCTATCAGATGAAATTAGTTTTGATTTGAGATCAAAATGAATGGATACTATTGGTTGTGGGCACATAGTGCAACCTGGAAGAAACAAGGAAGCTGATTACTACCCAAGTTGGTGTTGATACTGGTTATAAAACCAAAGGAGAAAGATTGCTAAAGCATGCACGGATGCAGCCATTGAGTTTGGAGTAAACACATTCTGAGTTTGTTCAAAGACAGTTGGGAAAAGACACAATGTGTTCATCAACTTTGAGACGCTACTGGTAGGATAAAGACTAATTTCTTTAGTGAATACAGACTGTTTAAAAGACCAATTGTGAATGTCTTGCAAGTTGTTTGTTAATGCTAGCGGGTTTAGCATCTAATATGCTAACTGGCCATGTGCAGTAAATGCATTTGATTTAGTGTTGCTGTTGAACTGCTATGTACTGTACTTTGTGATCTGTGAGTATTCTAGTAACATTGGTTGTAGTTTAAATGAGTTAAACATCCTTAAATGACCGCATTACTGTGTGTAGTGACTCCTATTTTAATATATTTTCTCTGTATAGGTTATTAAGCTAAGCATCTGAGTTAAGCATCTGAATTAAACTCTGAAAATAAGAAAAGGAAGATCAAATTGTTGCTGAAAGACTTTAAATAAATTGCTTCGATGATGAAGAATCAGATGTTTTGAGTTATTCCATGCACCCTCTGAAGTTGATTGAAGCCTTTTTCAAGTTTGGGTAGATATTGAGGCTGAGAAGAATCCCTAAATAACTGGACAGGTATAAACAAAAGAATATCATCAGCAAAAATGTAACTGGTTTGACTTGACACTTAATAACCACGCTTGTGTATAAGAAGATTAAAGGCTTCTGATGGTCCAGAAAACAAAGCTGGCGCAAAGGACAAGAATCAACATTGTTAATATAAGTCATCAGTGAATTAATTGAGCTGTTTTAAGATGACATATCATTTGACTTGAAATAAGATGGCAGAAGAAGCCTTGGGGAAAACAGTGGATCAACTTAAGAGAGAGAGAACCACTGCAAAGATGTGTTTTACAAAGCAAGCAAACCTTCTCATTCAAGAGTCAAGTCAAATGATTGAATCTGAACTCAGGAAGGAATTCCAGAAACTCTCTTCTAGTGCAAGAGCACTTTTTGATGTAAATAAGGACTATAAAATGGGATTGTTTGCAGAGCTGGAAGCTAACGCAAAGAGTGATGAGAAAGTGGAGCTTGAAATGCAGCAGGCAGCAGATATTGAGAAGACTGTTAGCGACTGTGAGACAAAGGTCGAAGAGGTGCGAAAAATTGTCCAAATTAACTTGTGGGAGAGATATGGCCAAGAGGAACTGACTGTTGCAGTCCAGGAAGCTGAGAAAGCTTGTGACCTTTCTGCTTCAATACCTGTTGCTGGGGTCAATTGTGAAGGATATGAAGTTCAACTAATTCACTTGGAAAGGCTCGTGAGCAGAGCAGTCAAAACTCTATCCAGCTGGGAGCGATGGATTCCTACAACAGAGTAAGGCAGTTAAAAGTACGGAATAATGGACTTGTTTCAAGAAATAGTGAGTTTATTACTGCACGTAATGCTGGAAGAAGTTCTCAATTTGCAAGTCCTATAGACCCAAACAGTAGGCTATTTGCATGTCGTGTTATCATAAGTGTCCTGTTCATTTTAAATATCATGGTTATCACCAATACCAGTATATCGTCACACCCTAAATTAACACAATAATCGATATTTCATGATTTGAATATCACGGTTATCGTCAATACTGGTATATCGCGACACCCCTAGTCACAAGGCAACCAACCATTCACCACAAGGGCTTTTCCCAAAATACCTCATCAAGGAAGATTGCCAGCCAATCAGCAACGGGACTCCCTCGGGTAGAAAAAGAAACCCTGCTTCCAGCGCAAACGCAAGTAACAAACAAAATCTTCTATCTGCTGAAACCGGTGCTGAATTGATCTTAAGCAGTAAAGATAAGACAAATCTCTGCTTTATGATTCTCTCAGGTTGCGATTTAAAGAACTGGTAGCGAATAACTTGCTAGACTTTTGGGACTTCCTCAGAACTCTGTTAACTCTCATCCTTTGAACTGTGTGTGTGTGTGTGTGTGTGTGTGTGTGTTTTCATTAGCAGTTATTATGACCGTGGCCAGGGGATAA